GACAGGTTCCCGTGAGAAGCTGGTGCTGTTGGTCTGACTTAGAAGTTTTGCATACTGTGTAACTGCTGGATGCTTGGTTAGGAGAGCTGCCTGCACTACACAGAGAGGCATGCAATGAATTTCACCATTCATTCTTTGGACACCGAACAAAAACCAGGCCCCATACAACTGAGGACTTTCTCATTAAAAATAGACTTCAGGCTTGCATCCAACCTAAGTGAGCACTTTGTTTCCTAAAGTTATTTTTGCTTCTTGCAAATTATTTTTTAAAGGACAAAAAAATGCGAAGGCAATTTTTTAAGGTGCTCCCTTGGTCTTTGAAGTGTAAGACTGACGTTTATTTGAGAAAAGTCATGTCAAATGCAAAGTAAAACAAATCAAACTAAGTCAAAGACATAAACAACTTCAACATAACTTACGAATGGAGGAACAGAGGAAATCAAAATAAAACACGGTAACCCAACATCCAGCCAATCCCATGGAATCCATCTCCAGGCACAAAAATGCTATTCATCACCAAACCCCTTCAAGCGGATTGGGGCAGGATTAATGCCGGCACTCGTTGTTGTTGGAGAGCTTCCTTCTTTCCTTTCCTCTCTGAGGCCCCTCTGAAGTGTTCTGGGGAAGAAAGGGGCCCCCGAGGAATCACCCCCAGCATGGCAGAAAGACAGACATTACTCTGCAAGGAGCAGTCTGACCAAGTCAATGCTGAAGTGATTCTCAGCTCAGCCTCATCACCACACACAACACCCCTGCTATTTATGACACAGCTGGCCAGGCAGAGAGGTCCCACGTGCAGAAACAATGCATAATTCAAGTCTAGTCTGAAGGGCAGAAGTCAACTTTCAATGTTTAAATAAAAATAGGATTTAAACTCACCTACAGGAGATTTTAGAAACATTCCCCACAAAACAAAATATTTGTAAAGTCCTTTTCTGACTTTAGTGGAGGAACAACATGGTGGGTCCTTCAGGCGTGACCCCCTTCCTCCTCCTCTGGGTGAGCGCCCCCAACGTTAAGAAGGAAGTATGTTACACCAGTAAGTGTGGTGTAAAATAGAAAGACAGGATGACTCAGGAATATGTTGGCAACTTAAGGCTGAAAAGATAAGGCTACTTAATATTGATGTAATAAACTAAGCCCTAACACGTATGAAGAGTTATGATGTGCCAAGCACTGCACTAAGTGTCCTGTTCGCATTATCTCATGAAACACGGCGTCCCTTTCACAGAGTCCTATAAACGTCCTTACTTTATGAGATGGTCAGGAAATAGGATGTTCTTTTTTGTTTGTTTTTTTGTTAACCCTCACCTAAAGATATTTTTTCCTTTGCATTTTAGAGAAAATGGAAAGGAGGGAGAGAAGAGAGAGAGAAGGCAAGAGAGAAGAGAGATTGATGTGAGAGAGACACATCGCTGACTGGTTGCCTCCTGCACTCGTCCCGAGCGGGGAGGGAACCCGCAGGTATGTGTCCTTGACTGGGAATTGACCCCAAGACCCTTTGGTGCACGGGCCAACACTCTAATCATTGCCCCATACCGGCCAGGATGGAAATATGTTCTTGACAGCATCCAAACAAGAACTTAACATTAATTCTCCCACTCAGAATATTGTTTGTGCTTTCAATTGGATAATGATCTTCAAGATACTTGTACATATTTTTTAAATATCCTTTTAAAAATATTTTATTGACTTTTTACAGAGAGGAAGGATGAGAGATAGAGAGTTAGAAGCATCGATGAGAGAGAAACATGGATCAGCTGCCTCCTACACACTCCCTACTGCGGATGTGCCAGCAACCAAAGTACATGCCCTTGACTGGACTCGAACCTGGGACCTTTCAGTCCACAAGCTGACACTCTATCCACTGAGCCAAACCGGTTTCAGCTTAAATATTCTTTTTGTTTTGTTTTGTTTTGTTTTAAATATATTTTATTGATTTTTTTACAGAGAGGAAGGGAGAGAGACAGAGAGTCAGAAACATCGATGAGAGAGAGTCATTGATCAGCTGCCTCTTGCACACCCCCTACTGGGGATGTGCCCGCAACCAAGGTACATGCCCTTGACCGGAATCGAACCTGGAACCTTTCAGTCCGCAGGCCAACGTTCTATCCACTGAGCCAAACCGGTTTCGGCAGCTTAAATATTCTTAATTAAAGAGGAAACCACCTTCTTTATACCTCCTTTTATTGAATATACAAGTTTTAAAAGATACTGGAAGCCATTTTTTTTTTTTTCCAGAGAGGAAGTGAGAGGGGGAGAGAGAGAGAGAGAGAGAGAGAGAGAGAGAGAGAGAGAGAGAGAGAGAGAGAGAGAGAGAACATCAATAATGAGAAAGAATTATTGATCAGCTGCCTCCTGCATACAACCCAGCTGGGAATCAAGCCTGCAATTTCCTTGACTGGAATTAAACCGGGACTCTTCAGTCTGCAGGCCAATGCTCTATCCACAAAGCCAAACCAACCAGGGCTTGCAGCCATTTTTAAAGAGAGTGATGGAAAGGGAAAGAATGTATTAAGGCTGATGTATTTTGACTGTCCTTCATGGTGACAGGAGGTACCAGGTACTATGCGCTAGGTATCTTCCCCAGGCCAGTTACCAATGTCAGAAGTCGAGTGTTTCATTCTTTAAATTTAAATTTGACTTTTCTATACTTAGTCTAGGAATATCATAATCAAGAGCCCATGGTTCGGGACTAGACTGTCTGCTTCAAATTTTGGTTCTGCACCTCACTATTACATGACCTTGAGTACCCAGTATTGCTGTGCCTCCGTTTCCCATTGGTAAAGTGAAGCCAGCAAAGCAATATTACCAATTTTCTAAAGGAGTGTGGATGACTAAAAAGATGAATTCATGTAAAAGTAAGCTCAATATAAGTTAGCATTTATAGTATTTATTTCTCACAACCTCTCTTTGTAGTCTTTATATAATCCTTACTGTCTTTTTCATTATGTAGTTTAGTTTTCTCTAGAATAACTTAAGTCTCCCAGTAAGATGATTCTTTTAGCAAAGTTGCAGTAAAGGTGTAGCAGAAGGTGAGGAAAAGAAAAAGTAGAGATGGGAAAAATATGCAAAGTATAAAAAAGTCAAATTTTAATTTTAAAAAAATCATAGAGTTGACTTCTGACATTTGGAAGAACTGGGGAGCAAGAAGAAGAGAGGGTGGGAAAATAAAACAAAAAAATTGTCCTTATTTGAACCTATTCCCATTTCCAGGGCTGGGCACTACAAAGACATCCCGGCCTTGACGTGGCTCAGTCTTCAGTCACTAGGCCACAGGTGTCTGGCTGTTGACAGTTGCCCAGCTTTTGGTTCATTTACTTGAACTCTAAGAGCCTAAACAAAGTTAACAACAAGGACTCAGGAGCGAGAAGATGGACAAAGAATCCCTCTGCCACGGTTCACTCCCAACCTGGGCTCCAGGACTGCCCAGCACTGTTATTTTCTCTGCCTTGGATTCCCTTTTATAGATCAGGAAAACTGTCTGCCAAACACACGCCACAGTCCATGAGTTACAAAACCCGAAGGGCCATCAGGCTGCTGTTATCTGAGGCTAGGGTTTCATCTCTCCAACTGCCATGACCTTCAGCTTCTCGGTAACTTAAAGCAGCTGTGGGGCCTCCGGCCAGGCTGCCACTCAGAGCCTGAAGTCCTGATCACAAGTGTTCAGACAGTAATGATCGATGTTTCCAATGCTGCAAGATGCCAAAGTAGCCATCTAATGCTAAGGGACCATTCAGAAAGTGTTTTATTACTGGCACTGATGTGCACAGCATATAATTACAGATGGCTATTTATTTATTTATTTATTTATTTATTTATTAAATATATATTTTATTGATTTTTTACAAAGAGGAAGGGAGAGGGATAGAGAGTTAGAAACATTGATGAGAGAGAAACATCGATCAGTTGCCTCCTGCACACCCTCCCACTGGGGATGTGCTCACAACCAAGGTACAATGCCCTTGACGGGAACCAAACCTGGGACCCTTGGGTCTGCAGGCCAATGCTCTATCCACTGAGCCAAACCAGTTAGGGCACAGATGGCTATTTAAATCTGAGTAAAACTGCTGTAAGAAAGCCCAAGTTGAGAAATTCACAAGGGTTTCCCCCCATTTTGGATGAGGGTATTTTTCTACTGTAATCTGACATGCTGTTTCGAGAAACTGTATCTTTTGATTAGAGAGGAAGACTTTTGTCAGATATGGCCGATAACTGAGTCTTACTCCATCAAAGACATAAACAAGAACAACAACACAAACGAACATATCTACTGACTCCTGATCTCCCCACACAATGGGCTTATTCAGGTTCTGGCTGTAGGAGGGCATCTCCCAGAGAAGCCGGAGGCATCCTCTCTACCACAACATGTATGGAAATACTGACTCAGAATGTTACAGTCCACCCACATTGAAAAAAGCAAGAATAATATACTTTTTTTTTTTTATCCCTTGAAAATGGAAAAGAACAGGACTTTTAACCCTGCTCTCCCAAACTCTAAACCCTTGTAAAGAAGAACAAAAGCTGTCGGGATGGGAAGAAAAGGAGATCACCATTGGTTTTAGTATCTAAGAAACAACAGTGTAGCCCCTAGCTGCTGGCGTCATTGGTCTGACACACACTGGCATGTGCCCTGGCGTGTCACCAATGTGTGGACATGCTCACATGTGCTCCCCACACCTCCCCAGCTCAGGGAGGCGTGAGGAGTAAGATCCCATTCTGAGACTCAGAAGGTGCAAGAAGCCACTAAGGCAACAGAGCTGGGTAAGCGGCAGAATGGGAATTGCAATTTTCTTTTTTTAAACTTGAAAGTCTGTTGCCTTTGCATTTCACTTATCTCTTGAGTATTGAAGACTAGTAAATGCTTTTGCTGCTCTTTTTACGGTTCCATAATGACCACGAGTGCTGCTTTCCATTGTCACTCACAATCATGCAAGGACCCAGCACACCAACCATCAGATGGTAACGCCCTGCCTGATGTAAGCCCAAGGAATTCTTACCTGGTGCTCCCGTGTACATGATGGAAAACACATTTATTGCTATTGTAGCAGCATAGAACACCGGCAGGGCCCGGAGGCCATTGGGAACAGGGTCCTCCTGCGTGATAATGAGACAAAGTGAAAGGTCAGGACTCAAGAAGCACCTGGAGCCAACACAGGCAACAGGGTCTAACACACTGCCACACGAAAATCCTCCCAAACTCTGCGTGGCCAAACTGCTGGCATGGCACTGCCGGGTGACCTGCTTCACAGGACCGCAGCGGCTTGGACCTCTCTCCCACACAAATGCCACTTCAGAGAGCCCACAAGTGTGCGCAGCAGACACTTCAGAGCACTAGGATCACATGAGCTGATGTCAGCTTTAGAAACAGAGAAACTGTCAGGTTAGGTCTGTTTCTGGGACCGAAGCGCAGAGATTGGCATCTACTTCAAAATCTGTGACACACTACTCTAAGTTCAGGTTGGTGCTAAAAAAAAAAAAACCCTACTTTTAACAAATACTCTGAGGCTCGGCTCCTTGAGAATGTCTGATAAGAGCCAAGTAACTTGAATGCCAAGGCATTGCTATAGATTTTATGTCACTCTATTACACAACGCATTTCAGCTCTATCAAAATGTGGAAAGCAAATTGCCATGTGCCATGGTTTTTTAAAACTTCTTATAAGGTACAGTATTGATGCTTCAATTATTAAAAGTTAAAAAACTGGCCCTGGCCAGTTTTGCTCAGTGAATAGACCATTGGCCTGCAGACTAAAAAGTCCTGGGTTCACTTCTGGTCAAGGGTACATGCCCGGGTTATGGGCTCGATTTCCAGTGGGAGGCGTGCAGGAGGCAGCCAATCAATGATTCTCTCTGATCATTGATGTTTCCATCTCTCTCTCCCTCTCCCTTCCTTTCTGAAATCAATAATATATTAAAAAAAATAAATAAATAAACAGTACACAAAAATTGTGGGTTCTTTATCTAGTAAAACATGTATTTACAATGTTAGGGTTCTGGTACAACACTCCCTAAATCTATTACTTCACAAGTAAGGTACAGCACATGTTTTAGGCTAAATAACATCTCAAAGAATATTAGAAATTCAGAGTTTTAAGCAGATATACAGAGGATTTTCGAACAAAAATGCAGACTGAGAACTCCTCAACATAGCACTGGCACATAGATGTTGCCTGAATAATTTAAAAAATGACTTCTAATAACCATGTAAGATATTCATACTTAATATGAATATGCTATCTTCCCACAATGAAAGGAAGATTAGACCTAAACATTGATGTGAGCTACAGGATGAGGAGAAGTAAGAGACCATCTCTAAGATTTCCACTGTCAAATGCAAACACATATAGGAATCAGTAGGTTTGCAGAGCAGTACACCTCATCAAGAACCTATTCTGGAATATCCCAAGCAGCCACCAGCATTTGTCGAGAAGCTTGAGTTGATAGTACTGAGGTGTAAGGAACAGTAAGAGCAGGGGTAGGAGATGATTCAACTGCATGAGAGTCACGGGCAGATCAGGAAGAGCAGATAAAGAACAGCAAACATGCAGAACCGATGGGCAGGAGCTGGGGCATGACGCACAGCAGTCTTCTCATCTTAAAGAGCCCTGGCTGAATGGAAAACTAACGCTGGGATGCTCAAATGCCTACTGCCTCTGTTTTCCAAAATGCTGTTTTCCAGGGGCCAAGGGATGCTAAAGAAAGATGCCCAACCAATAACTTCTGAAGATGTGTAAGTCCTGAGTTCATTTTTTAATTAAATCATGTTGTGTTTTCTCAAATATTAATCTACTCTTGTAACTCAAATGACAACTGTCTCATTGCAACCTGTCTCTTTTCCTCCTCCTCCCTCTCTCCTTTCTTCCTTCCTTCTTCCCATCCATTCATCCATCCATCTGTTGCCACCCACCCAAACTAAGTTAATGAGACAGTTATGATTCTACTCTCACAGAAATTATAGTAAAATAGCAAACAGACCACTAAGCAGGAAATAAAACACCGTAAACCACGAGAGTGCAATGATAGCAGGTGCACAGTGCCGTGGATATAAAAGAGAGGAACCAAGCGGAATTTGGGGTGGGAGAGGGAAGGCTTCCGGGAAGTGACACCTGGAAGTTAAGTAGGAGCAAGAGTTTTCCAGGAAGGGATGGATTCCAGGCAAAGGACACACAAAAGGTGAAGGTTAGCAGGCAGGAGGGTGGTGCCTTCCAAGATGTAAACCAATATTAGTATGGCGGGCAGCCAGGAGAAGGAATGGTAAGTTTGTACTTATCCAAGAGAATGAGCACTTCAGTGGACTACCAGACAATGCCAAGGCGACCCCGTGCGTCTTTAAGCAAAAGCACAGCTGAAGGAAGGTATGTCCCGATGTGCCCCGCCTGTGTGACCCAATGATCCAGGCTGCCTTATGGCTGACAAAACACCGCACCAACCTCTAGTCAGTCAGATAAAAAATGCAATCCATTTTTTTCTAGAACGCTAATCTCAGTAAGTTTTCATTTTATTTTCGATAACCTATCCTCCCAATAGGTGTATTTCCTTCTTTTTAACCTTTTGAAGAGAGGAAAAAGTCGGTGTCTCAAGCTTGCTTTCTTCATTAAAACAAAGAGAAAGATAGAAAATACCTTACACTTGGGAAAAGGAATTCTCCAGCTGTTTTTAGTAATAGTCAATTTCAAAATCCAACACTATGTCACTCTATTCTGCTTCACATTCAGGAAATAATTACCTTTCCTTTTTGAGGTCCAAGCACAATGCCTGGGACTGTCAACTCATGAACACAATCACAGGGTGAGAAACAGTATTTGCAATCCTGGGTTCAGGGGTTCCCCTCACCCCCGGGTACTCTGCCTTGAATCTTTCCTCCTATTTTATAGTAAAGTCTGATTCTAACTCCCAGGTGCAGTGCCTTAAAAATGTAAAAATACAAGTATTTCTCTGCCTCCTCTCACAATTAATTTCTATTTAGTAGAGCCAAAACTAGTTCTCAAACTTAATTTTTAAAAACCAGCCTCACTTACCTTTTTTAAGATGAAAATTCTGATCAGTACAAACAGCACGCCAGACATGAAACCAGACAATAGTGGAGATATAAACCAAGAAGCCACTGAATAATTAAAAAAAAAAAAAAAAAGTATAATGAATGCTGAAATTCTACGTAATTCAAGATATATTTATATAATACAATTATAACAAATATAAATATAACAAATATTTAAATATAAATATTTAAATAATTATAATAAATATTCCTGGAATCACTCATCTTAATTCAATCCTAACAAGCCCTGCCCTGGCAAAGCTTACATGCACCCATGCACAGCTCTGCACAGACACAGGAACGGTCCCACAAAAATGAACTTGATTCCTAACAAGTCCCTTCTGCCTGCTGTTCTCATCAATCAGACCTGGACCTTGTTCCAACATAAAGGTGCTTTGAAAAGTGGGCCACCTTCCATTTCACTTTCCACCTCCAGCCTGAGCCTGTCATCCTGACACGGCCTCTGGCCTAGTAGTTCCCAACTCTGGCTGCACATAAGAAATATGTGGGGAGTTTTCAAACTAGTTACACTCTGGCTCCACCCCCAGAATTCTGATTTAAAACGTTTGGAATGGGACCTGGGCACTGATATTTTAAATCTGCTCCCCCAGATAATTCCAATGGGCAGACAGCGTTGAGAACCATGGTTCTAGGAGCCTGGGATCTAAAGTGATTTTCCTGGCCATCTGAGTCCCTGCTTGGGACTCAACCTAGAGCTCCCAAGGTCACTGTGATTCTTAAAAGGACAGCATCCCAGAGGATGGAGACGGGGAGAGGGCATTTCTTACAACAGGCGGGTTGGTGCTTATGGGGCTGAATGGATTTCCCTCTTACCAAGAGCCACGGCCAGGAAGCAAGCTGCCAAACCCCTTAAAACAGACCTGCTGAGCAGCCTACAGCCTGGAACACTCGAGCGAGGCCTCCTCTGTATAGGCAGACTGGGCGATTTCTTAACTGTAGTGAGGTCAATAACACGGGGTTCATTTCAAGGCTTCCCCATGACCATGAACTCCGACTCCTAGACACTAAGGGTACTTCCCTCATTAGGACCTAATTTTTCTCTGACTACAGACTGATTTCAATGAGATAAATTTCTTTTCTGCTTGGAAACAACAGATAAGTATTGATTTTTTCAAAGCTGGATGACAATGTAACATTTCAAGGAGTGTTTGGAGGCCAAAAAAAAAAAATTCTCAAACACATAACAGTTCACAATACAGAAATTTTAAGGAAAATTATATTACCCATATAGATCTTCTAAACCTTAACATTTGAAGAAAAAATATATTATAATTGCAACTTTTAATAAAACTTACTCTAGAGAATGTAAACTTTCCTTCTTATACGTAAAAGAAAATGGCAATTACCAATCTTGACCAGCTCCATCCACTGTACACCTTTGGTGCCAATCGCAACAAGTGAGAATCCTATAGTTGCACCAACAATGCAATGAGTTCCTGAGATGGGAAGTCTCAGGAAGGATGCAATCAGTTGCCAAACAGCTGAACCTAGAAGTGGGAAGATTTAAAAAAGAAAAAAGTCAGGTATAAGGTATAGCAAGCATGTCAAACTCATGGCCCTCAGGCCGCATGCAGCCCACAAGGAATATTTTTGCAGCCCAGCCAATATAATGGTATGTAAAAAAACATTAATTTTATCATTGCTCTTGTTCTATTTTATACTGTACTTTTCTAAATAAACCTATGTTTCAATGAAAATTAAAACTGTTGCTTTTTTGTGGCCCACGAAAACTTAAACCTTGTTTATTTGGCCCGTTAGCCTTTGAGTTTGACATGCTTGAGGTACAGCATCTCCAAAAGCCACAAAAGGAAGAAATACAAATTACTGTTCTCCACAGCAACACCCATGGGGTTCATTTTCTGTGAGTGGCTCCTTTACAAAGCACTAATATCCCGACAAAATTACCCAATTAACTTGAGTCAAAGAAAGTCTTCAACCCTGGAGGGAAAATGATCATTTATTTTAAAAAAAAGTCTCTTGATGCCGGTTACTAACTGCCCTTGTCACATTTAGGTAAGAGAGCTGATAATGAACTTGCTCTGATGTGAAGTGTGGCCAAGACCAAAAAGAGATTGAGGACTTGAATAAACAGAGAAACGAGAAAGGTTGCACACAAGAAAGGATTTCACCATAGTTAGGCCTTGTAGTCACATAATGAGGAGGGTTAAATATCGGCTGTCGTATTAGTCTGTACACGAGAGAGTGTACCACCACGTTGCTTTTTCATTCCTGCCTCTCATGTGAGAAGGAACTATGATATTTAACCTGAAGTTGGGCCTCTCCTCTCAGCCCCTGCCCGGAATGATGGGGCTTTTCCTTACACGTTCTCACGTCTTCTACTTCTTGGGAGTTAAGAGGATCCCTTTGTTTGGCTTTATGTCCTTTTACCTCAATTTCACCACTCGTTTTCAGGCTTAATGCTTTTCTAGGCTATAGTTCAGATATTTTCATAAGCAGATCAGGTTTTGCAGTGAGTATTAAAAGCATCAGCTGGGAGGGATCACTCTCAGGCACAATTGTTGAAAAGTTCATATAGAACTGAAGGGGACAAGGGCTTGGCGGATAAGCAGGCCCGTTATTAATCCCAAATGTTAATTCTGGAAATCTGGTTGCTTGGCAGCAGCAGCACTTTCAAGCAGATCCTTGGCATTTTCTTCAAAAAAATCCGAGTTAAGGGGGATCGTTAAAGGCTGTGCAGGTCCGTTTGTGAAGCAAGGCTGACAGCTGCTCCACGAGCGCTGGGCATGCTGACCTTTGAGCTGCCCTGGGCTGTGGCCCTGGGCCTGTCGCGTGTGCTGGAAGGAGAAGGGCCAGCTCTGTGCTGCCTACCCGGTAACAAGGGCTCCCTGGCTGCACCCAGGCTTCCCGGTGAATAATTCCTTAAGCCCTCGCAGCTGAGCCCCGAGTTCTGCAGGGACTACATAAGTTGTTTTAAAAATAAAGCCAGAGTTTGGAGCATGTTTCACAGCATAGAATCATAACTTAAAATACAAACTTCGTGATTTCGATGATTTCTTTACCAAAATTTAAATAATTTAGTGATGTTAAGAGCATGGTATAAAGTCATCCATATGATCGAGACCATGAGATTTTTTTCCCTTCCTGGAAAGCGGCTATTCTCTCTCTGGCTAACTTTATAAGGTAGATCCTGGAGCAGGATGGTTTGTAAGGAAAGGTAGGGAGAATAGCTGCCTGAGAAGGAAGAAGGAAAGACTCAGGAGGCCAGTGGGAAGAGTGAAGGAGCAGCTGAGAGGAGGGGCGGGGGGAAAGGCAGGTATTTGTAGGGACCTTGCAAAGTGAGAGAATGAGAGGCCTCCCTAACCCCAGGAATTTCTGAAGGCATGTAGGATTACATTTGTGTGAAGAAGAACAGTAAGAAAGAGAAACATATTTTAACCTAGAAAAATATGTGTTAGCCTACAAAAATGAAAGGGGTTAAATACAGGATGCAGGCATAAGACAAAGCCTAGCAAATGTTGGCTGGGGGTGGGGAGGGGTGCAAACGGGCATCATTGAGGCAATAGGTTCCTGGGAAGATGGAAGAAGGGTAGAGCCAAGGTTCAGCGTTGCCATGGAGGCAAACAGGCAGGCAGGCACGAGTGAGTGCGGGCAGGGGGAAGGCTCAGTGGTTATGGGAAGGGAGGGAGTCTTATGGGGAGTATGCACTTGTTAGTGTGCTTCAAGGAGAAGGCTTCTTCATGCAGGTGTGGGCATTTCTATGGCAAGGTGGTAGGTTTTGGATTCTCAGATTTTTGAAACCATTGATGGTTTCATATTAAGTGGATTCACTACTGTTTTAGTATTAAGCTGGAGTCCCAAAAGATAACTTGTTCAAGAAGTTTAGCTAGCACTAACAATTTCTTCCACCCAACCAACTAACACCACCACAACTTTATCAGAAAGCAGAGAGCCATGGGCTTCGGGAGAACTTTCTAAAAGAGAAGGAAAACAAATAGAACAGAATAAAAGGACAGGGGAAGCAAGGGAGAGAAGAGATGGATGTAGAATGTAGAAAAGGAAGATTGAGAGAATCAGGCATCTGAAGAGAATCAGCTTTGATTTTGGTCAGTAATAATTATACCTTCATTTTAAATTTACATAGCTCCCATTTGTAAGGAAACCAATTTTGAAAATCTAGGTAACCCATATAAATTCCCAACAAAATGGTCTTTGAGATACGTGTAACCATATAAAAGAGAAGAAAGAGGGGGAAGGGGAGGGAGAGGGAAGAGGAGGACTAGGTCAGTGGTTGGCAAACTGAGGCTTGCTAGCCACATGCAGCTCTTTGGCCCTTGAGTTTTCAGCAAAGCCAGCTTAGGAGGACTCTAATTAAGTTAATAACAATGTACCTACCTATATAGTTTAAGTTTAAAAAATTTGGCTCTCAAAAGAAATTTTAATCGTTGAACTGTTGATAGTTGGCTCTGTTGACTAATGGGTTTGCCGACCACTGGACTAAAAGAAAGAGATGAAGGAGAAGGAAAGGGAGGAGGAAGAGGAGGAGAACAAGAAGGAAGGAAGAAAAGGAGGGAGGGAAGGAGAAAAGAAGAGAGTGAGAGAGGAAATGAGAGAGAGAGAGAGAGAGAGAGAGAGAGAGAGAGAGAGAGAGAGAGAGAGAGAGAGAGAAAAGAAAGAAACCAAACAAAACCCAAGTTATTCAAGCAAAACCCCAAATTGCTCTGGTTAACCTAAATTCTAGTTGGGGTAAGTATTCTTCATACTTTCAGTAAAGAGCCAAGGCCAGGGGTGGGAAAACTACTGCCCACACAGAAAAGCAAGCCAGCAACGGCATGAGCTCCGCTCCCGAGACTTTCTGTCGCTCTGAGGCTCAGTGTGGCCTCACTGACAAGTCTCTAATAAGCACACAATTCTTCAAGTTTCATCCAATGAAAGGAGAAATTTCTGTATATATTTAATTCTATCCATGTTTTTCTTTATTCCTTTCCTACTTTCAACATATCTTGCCCACATCATCCCGAATGAAAAAAAAATCTTAATTTCAGGTCGATATGATTATGTCTTGGACGTCTATCACAGCTACAGAAGGGTGAATTTTACAAGTAACTTATTTTTCTATGAGAAATTTCAATTATATCTGACTTTAATAAAAACATATGCTCACTGAAGTTAAGTAAGATTCAATCATCACAAGAGCTGTTGGAATTAAAGCAATCGTGAACCTTACATCTTTAAAACACAAAATGTTCAGTGGAGACATAGGCACTCCTTAGCGTAAGTTACCACGCTTAGTCACATTTAATTCCTTAGTCATCGGCCTGCTTCAGATCAAGTGCCTCAACAACTTCTCAGACTAACTTGCTATAATAAAAAGATGATGGTTATCTTAAATTTGGCAAATCACTTCCACATCCTGAGTGCTTAAACAACGCCAGTGACAAAACATAACTAGGAAGGACCTGTGAAATGTAGCTGCGTTCTTGGTACACCAGCATCTTACCTCCTATTGCAGGACTCTTCCTACAAAAGGTAGGTCCAGTTGAAAGCAGAAGGTGGTAGAATTCCTCTCTGTCCCTCTCCTCCCTAACCAAATTACTCAAACCGATCAGCTGTCTGCCGTCATCTCTACCTCCAGGCAAGCAGAGAGAATCCAGTCTGCACTTCAGGCCCCTCTGTCTGAGCCTCCTTTTCTGTAGCAAGGACAATGAGGGAAGCGCCCCACAGTGCTAGGGTCTATGGTCACCTTGGGCAATGGAGAAATCCCACTGTCAGCCCAATCTCTCATTAACATACTGCACTGCCTTCAGCACTCCTCTCTCATGCAGACAACCTGAAACCACCCACAGGTGGCATACAAATGACCCATAGGTGGCATACAAATGACCATTTGACTAGAAAATACAACAAACATACCAAATGGAGCACCCAGAGGGAGAATCAGAAAATCAAAACAAAAGCCAGCAAGAGGATTACAAATGCTATACTACCCGAGTTTCCCCGAAAATAAGACATTCTCCGAAAATAAGACCTAGCGCATGGAAAGATAAGACATCCCCTGAAAATAAGACCTAGCGCAACTTTGGGAGAAAAAATTAATATAAGACTGTCTTATTTTCGGAGAAACAGGGTAGCAGACCAGAATTTCTTGAAACACAAACACGATTTGCTTGGTAACTGCCTTAAAACTTAAACTGAGAATATAAGTTAAATTAATAAGTATTGTTTTGTTGGCATCCAAGTTTTTAAAAAAACAACTGTGTCCTAATTTATATATTTAAAAAATCCACAGAAAAACAAATAAACCTTAAAGGAAATCTCTTAAATCTTTCAAAGACATTTTCTTAGATATGCTCACTATTTCTCTAATAAGAGCTGTCCTACATATAACTTTGTCTGTACTTTATAAAAAGTACTCAGCTGAATCTATTTTAACAACCAGGTTTGCTAAACATTTAAGAAAATGTGTTTGCTTAATATGTAAACACTAAAAAAACAATCAAATTAAAACACAGAAAGCAAAATAAGACAACAGCAATTATACAACATCAAACCAGTTTTTGCAAAGTTAAAGAAAAAAACACATTTATGGATATGACAAGAGCACTATAGAGAAGGTCAGTGGACACACTTCCCACAGGTATAAAGAATCAGGTTACTTACCGACCATTGCACTAACTTCCCCAGCCATTAGTGTTTCTACTGTCTCGTTGTAGAGGTTCACATCAATGATACCTTTTCGAATGGTCTCTCCTACTTTGGCTCCCAATAACACCGAGCCCGTGGTTTCAAATATTGAAGCCAAAATGCACGCCTGCTTCAAGGTCACGACGCCGGAGCCCACAGCAGTACCGAATGAATTGGCAACATCATTTGCACCAACAGAAAATGCCAATATAAAAGCTATGATAAAACCTAAAATGACCATCCACAAATACTCATCCATGGCCATTTTGGAAAGTGGGCTCTGGGTACTTTTCTTTCGCAGAAATATTTTAAATAAACAAAGCTTGAGGTTATGAACGTCGTAAGGCCGAGAGTTCTTGTAAACAGTGAGTTTGCTCTGGAAAGTGCTGGACAATGTTAGAGCCTGAACAAACTGCTAACTGCTGGTTTTCAAACTACTGTCAGTACAGTTCATTTGGTTGTGTTCAGTCAGCGGTAAAACACATTCCATATTTTTCCTCCCAATCTGGGAAAGCTGTGATGTCTCCTCCTGTAACAGAAAGAAAACAAAAGAAATCAATTATCCCAAGCAACCTGTAACAGTTTGTTCTTTCATAAATAAATGTTTTAAGCCTACTAATGGGATCTAACTTGGGCATGTGACAGATCTAACCATAGAGCAACACAAGGAAGATTATAATTAGGTTAACTAACTCTCCCCTCCAAAAACAAAAGCTGATTTCTAGAATGTCAGGAGTTGAGGCATGCTTTATAATTGCAAAACTGATAGTAAGCCTTAATGGAATAAGTTTTTTATACAGTCTGAAAAATATATTTGGTCATTCTCTTCAGAAAAGAAAATTGTCTCAAAGGAACAAATGATAAAGAAATGAGAAATTTATCAGTCGTGGCTGGGTAGCTCAGTTGGTTAGAGCATCATCCTGATATGCCAAGGTTGTGAATTTGATCCTTGGTCAGGGCACATACAAGATGCAACCAATGAATGTATAGATGGTTGGAATAGCAAATCAATGTTTCTCTCTCACTCTTTTTCTCTCTCCCTTTCTCTCTCTCAAATCAATCAATAAGCCAATAATTTTTGAGAAATTCAATTATAATTTTTTTCAAGTGCGTGAAATATGTAAAATTTTTTGGCTAAATTCAGATTACCAAATCTGAATCTGTGACTCCACAGAGGGTGACTACCTGCCTACACATTTATGCATAAGGAGTGTGGACTTGGCACTGTGGCTGCATCATGTGTGTCTAAAAGGAAATTTACAGGTTCTGGTACAAAGTGAGACATCCCCAAGGTGACACAGAAGGAACAGAGAAAGTTGGTGAACGAAGGCATGTTATGAAAGCACAAGACAGTGCATGTCACTATTCCACTACTTCCCATTCACTTGGAGGAAAAGCCAGAGGCCTTACCATGGCCTGGAAGACACTCTAAAACTCCTCAGGGCTCCACGCCCAGCTCACTGACCTCAGCTCCTGTTCACCTTCTTCCCTCACTGGTTCCTTGCTTTTCCATGCAAACATTCACCACTCACCACAGGCCTTTGTACCTGCTGACCCTCTGCCAGGAAAAATCTCCCTGACAGCTGCACAGCTCACCCTGCATGCTATTTAGGTCTCCGCTCAAACATCACCATTCGAGAGCCTTCCTGACCTTGTGAAAGAGCAGCCCCTCCCCAACACCATTAGCCATCCCTATCACCTAACTTTTTTTCTCTCCTACTCGATCTATTCATTCATGCATGCATTCACTCATTGTCTGTCTTCTCTCACCAGGATGCAGACACTTTGTTGGATTCACTAATGTATTTCCAGTACAGAGAGCAGTGCCTGGCAAGCAGTAAGCCCTAATAAATTTGTTGAATAAATAAAGAAGTTATTAAACAAATGGAGAAGTCTTGCATAGTCTTCATTCTGAGATGAACAGATGTCATAAAATCAATATATCTGTGAAGTTAAAATGTCACTAAAAGCTTCAGAATTACAATATTCTATTATTATAGGGTACAATATCTGTGTCTTTTCTTTGATGGCAGTAGGCACATAGGAAGATGACTGGCAAAGTGTAATCCTTCATAAATGCTTGTTGAATTGAATAAATTAGGCTCATACACAATATAATGATCAATGAACATCAAGGATACGTAGGGGAATAAAAGCAGGACACAAAATGTTATGTACACTGTGATTATGGCAATGTTAAAAATTCATATAAAAAGACCAACAGGTAATATTAAAACAATAGTTGAGTGTGAATGATAGTGTTATAGATGATTTTTCCCCTTTTCTCCAAATATAGTTATGTGCTTTTCAAGTTAATATATAATAAACAAAATAAACATAGATTGAGCATTACCTCTGTATGCAATGCTATAGGCAGACAGTGAAATGGAATGTGTGTCCTATAGCTCTGATTGCTTTCAAAGATTATTCTGGCTGTGATGTGGAAAATAAATTGGCTAGAAGGTGAGAATGAATGTGGAGAGACTAATTACAAGGCACATGGTTCAGGCACAAGGGACTTTGTGGACCCAGAGTGGTGGTGATGGATCCAGGTTTCAGTCTTTACATCTAAGGCCTTCTGGACCCAGAGTGGTGGTGATGAGTTAAGAGGTACTTCAGCAGCTAAAGTCAACAGGACTTGGTGGTGGTTTACATATGGGTGTTGTGAGGGGATAGATGGTTACTGACATGTGGAATTGGACTGAAAAATAACTGAGTGGGTGTTTTCCCTTTTGCACTGTTTTTAGGTGGTAGGATAGGGTTGACCACAGGTTCACTTCAGACATGTTACACAAAGAGGTAAAACGCAGGCACAAAAAAGTGTGGTCAGTTGAGGCCCTAGAGCAGGTGTGTCCTCAGTCCAGTTTTGCTTGGGGAAGGTTTTAATCATCAGTGGGGAAAGATTAGACTTACTCAAGACATGATGCTGGGATAACTTGCTAAGTGCTATCTGAAAGGAATGGGAAAAAGCTGAATCCCTACCTCACACCAAAGCAAATGAAAGAATTAGATGTGAAGACTGAAACCTGAAGAGCTTGAAAAAATTGAAAGCTTCCTAACTCTCCTTCCTTTCCCTGATGTGAAAGCCCTACAAGGGTGGGATTCACAGAACTGAAGGTTACAAATTACTTTTCTTTTTTTATTTTCTTTTTTTATTAAATTATTATCTGTGTACATATCTTACCATTCCCCCCCACACACACACACATACATGTCCTCCCTCCCCAGAGTTTTGTGTCCATTGGTTGTACTTATATGCATGTATACAAGTCCTTCAGTTGATCTATTATCTCCCCCAGATCTTCCTACCCTCCCCGCTGTAATTTGACAGTCTATTTGTTTCTTTACTGTCTCTATATCTATCTTTTGGTTCATTAGTTTATAATGTTCTTTATTATTCATAAATGAGTGAGGTCATGTGGTGTTTCTCTTTCATTGACTGGCTTATTTCACTCAGCATGATGTTCTCCAATTCCATCCAGATTGCTGCAAATGATGAGAATTCCTTCTTTTTTATGCCAGCATATTATTCCATTGTGTAGATGTACCATAGTTTTTGGATCCAATCATCTGCTGATGGGCACCTAGGCTGTTTCCAAATCCTAACTATTGTAAATTGTGCTGCTATGAACATAGGGGTGTATATATCCTTTCTGATTGGTTACTTTTCAATTTTCAAATGCCACCAACCTCTTGCATTTTAGGAAGAGGGGCTTTAGAGTGTTTTGAATTATTATAGGAAGCACTGAGTGGTTCCTTAAGTTCTGTCTTCCAAATCTGTAATGTTCATAAGAGCTTCACTTTCTTTTCTCAGGACCCTGATGCTCTCTGAACAAGCTTCTCAACTTTTGGTTCCACACACCATCGCTTCTGTTCCTCAATCTCTGAACCAACTCTACTCTCATCAGCCTAAAGAGTGCCCTGTCAGGACTCTCAGGTGTTTATGGATTCTTTTCCTATAACTTTCTCTGTGAGATTATGCTTCAACTCTAGCCTCTTATCAACATTAGAAATCTGAATGTTCAAGTGAAAATAAACATTCTTAGAATATTTCTAGACAGATATGATTATGGCTTAAAATGGAATGCTGCTGAGTTATAACATTTAATGGAAATTTTTGCAAGAAGCAGCTTGGGTAGGAGAATCTTTTCTCTTGAATCTGCCAAAGGTAACACCCAAAGTGACTTCTCCAAGCAAATGTGCTATGGAGATGTCTGTTCAGTTCTACAATCAGCAATCCCTCCTCTCTCAGCCTCAGACTCTAGTCACCTCCTCAATTGGCACAACCAGTCCCAGACAACCAGGTCCGTAGTGAATTGTGGCTTAGGTCCCTGGGGGATTTGACATTTTAAAAAACTGGCCCAGCCTTGACCAGGTAGCTCAGTTTGTTATAGCATCATCCCGATATGCAAGGTTGTGGGCTCGATCCCCAGTCAGGGTACATACAAGAATCAACCAGTGAATGCATAAATAAGTGTGATAACAAATTGATGTTTTTCTCTCTCTCTCTTCCCCTCCCCCAAGATATTTTTTTTAAAAAAAAAACTTAAAAAATAAATAAAGGATTGACCCACGGCCAGCCTCCTTTCCATGTGCTTCTGGCTTATGGGGTCTGTTTCCTGAGATTTTATGGACTGCCCCCAGATCAAGCCCCCTTCCAATTCAGGAAGGGAAGGAGCTACGACTCCCCACAGCAGACCTGGTACTCGGAAATAATTTTCCAATTCCTCTCCTAAAACCCTCTAACAATGTAAAATTGATTCGAGCATTCTGACACTTAGATAGAAATATGAAGACACAGATATCTCTTCAATGGTACAATGTAAAATCTAGTAACTCTGCTACTTGTGAGTCAGCCTGTTAGCTCAGACATTAAAATTACTAGCTTTTCCTGACAATCCTACCTAATAAAATAGCAATATGCAAATTAACCATCACTCCGCTACCCCCACAAGTCACGCCCACCAGACAATCAGAGGGTACGCAAATAAACCCAACCAAGATGGCTACAGCCACAGAGGGCAGGAGGGAGGCTTGGGTTTCCCAGGCAATGGAGGAAGCTAAGCTTTCTGCCTCCCTAGCCAGCCTAAGCCTCCACTCAAGGATACAACGTTTCAATTACAGAAGGTAAACAAATCCAAACAGAAATGGCGGCAGCCACAGAGCTTGAAAGAGCGGGAGGTTAGGGTTTCCCCCGGCAATGGAGGAAGCCAAACTTTCTACACACCCTGGCCTGCCCAGGCCTTTGCTCTAGGCTACAAAGTT